AGCCGCTCAAGCTAGCGCCGCAGGCTTTAGAACGAAGCCAGCCGCTCAAGCTAGCGCCGCAGGCTTTAGAACGAAGCCAGCCGCTCAAGCTAGCGCCGCAGGCTTTAGAACGGAGCCAGCCGCTCAAGCTAGCGCCGCAGGCTTTAGAACGAAGCCAGCCGCTCAAGCTAGCGCCGCAGGCTTTAGAACGAAGCTAGCCGCTCAAGCTAGCGCCGCAGGCTTTAGAACGAAGCTAGCCGCTCAAGCTAGCGCCGCAGGCTTTAGAACGAAGCTAGCCGCTCAAGCTAGCGCCGCAGGCTTTAGAACGAAGCTAGCCGCTCAAGCTAGCGCCGCAGGCTTTAGAACGAAGCCAGCCGCTCAAGCTAGCGCCGCAGGCTTTAGAACGAAGCCGCTCAAGCTAGCGCCGCAGGCTTTAAAACGAAGCTAGCCGCTCAAGCTAGCGCCGCAGGCTTTAGAACGAAGCTAGCCTCTCAAGCTAGCGCCGCAGGCTTTAGAACGAAGCCAGCCGCTCAAGCTAGCGCCGCAGGCTTTAGAACGAAGCCGCTCAAGCTAGCGCCGCAGGCTTTAGAACGAAGCCAGCCGCTCAAGCTAGCGCCGTAGGCTTTAGAACGAAGCCAGCCGCTCAAGCTAGCGCCGCAGGCTTTAGAACGAAGCTAGCCGCTTAAGCTAGCGCCGCTGGCTAAAGAAGGAGGTAACCGCTCAAACTTGCGCCACAGGCTTTATCTCGAAGCAAACCGCTCAAGCTGGGGCCGCTGGATAAGGACCTGGCCGATCAAACATGCGCCGCAGGCCTAATAACGACACTAGCAATTTAAGCTTGCCCCGCATGTTAATACAAAGAGGTTTGCATGGGAGATGCGTTTTTCTTTCTTCAGGGTAACTTTATGTGGACGGGCGCTCGATTCATAGGGCCTAGACGGGGTCCAGCGGGGGAGAGTCGCGAAGCGGCTCCTCCCCCGCTGGTATATAATATAATATAGCCTTACAGGAACCTTCAAATATAACACACCAGTGCTCGTCGAGCTGTGAAGAAGGGAATGTTTCCTCCCGGATTCGAGATATCCAGGAATACACAGTTCTCGTATGTGGCGGCGCCGAATTGATATTGACATGGCTTGTCGCATTCCGAGGCTTTTTTAACAAGGCTTGTCTTGAACTCCGTTTCACTAAAAATATTCCTAAATTCCTAATTATTAAATTTTTACGGGACGTTTCCGTCCTTGCCGCAGAGTGGGAGCGGCTCACATTTGTCACCCGGTGTTCGCCCTCCCGTGCCGCAGTACTAAAGATGACTCGCCGCACCCAGTATATAAACTACCGTAATGCTCGGTGGATCGGGTGCATCGTAGGGGTAGCTGGTGAATGGTGAGAGATCAGTAGTGGCGTATCCGGCCGCCAGATGCAGACTTGGGACACAGGTAGGTTTTGGAGGGTCGGCCACGGGGGCATACTTCTTGATAGCGTCGATGAGAAGCCTAAAAAATACGAGTGCCCAGGAGTCTCGTAAGGCCCCACGATGGAATGTAAGCAATTTTTAAAGTACATAAAGTAAAACATCAAAACTTAACCTTAATTTAGAAAATAGTATATTTTCAAAAATCTCAAATTCACCCTACAGGGTCTTCCAAAAAATTAATAAAATATTATAATAATAGGGATGATTTTTACATGATTCAAAAGCTCTCGAGGGGGCGACCCTTGCGCCCCGACATTGGCGGCCGCGACACTTCCGGCCCGTTCCCATAGTAAACGCTGGGCCGAAACTGTCCCGGCCGCAAATATCAGGGGCAGGAGAAGATTAAAGTAACCTACCGCATCACAGTAAGCGAAAACAACCCCACTGTGGAACTATAAATCCGGCATCGCACTGCACCAGGTATTCGTTCGTTAGCTCGAATCTGGCCGGAACATACGCCTCGGTGCTCCTATATTGCTGCGTGTATGAGAATCATTTCAAATGGAATAACAACCTGGATTATTGGCACCTGTATTAGCTCCTCACCGTAACCGTTTTTTTATACTTCGCCGACCACCACGGGTGGTACCACCCCTCTGGGGATGTCGCGGGGGGGCGGGGGGTGGTTGGGGGTGGTCAAAAGCATTAACCGCCAGCACCTCACTTCTACCCACATTGGTCCAAAGCCAGGTAATAATATACGGATTCAAGAATACGATGTCGACATTGAAAGATGTCATTTGACCACTCCCAACCGCCCCCCGCCGCGCCACCCCCCAGCCACCACTAGGGGTGGTCGGCAAAGTATGGTTTTTTTTGGGTGACCGTGGAATTTCGATCGGTGAGATAGCACATATGGTGCTGAATTTTTTGCTGTTTTCGAATCTGTTTCCAAAAGTTGCGGAACCCTTTGAAGAGCCTGGCTGAGGGGCGTAAAACTGGAATTTAGTCACAAACAGACCCACCATGCTTTCCCTTCGCATTTTCCCGATGCCAGCCTTTCCCGCGTGCATAGATTGAAGGGGAACATTAATTTATCTATATATGTCCACGATGCACTGAATAAGGAGTAATACCTTTGCCGTCGTTAATCGTTACAGGCAGGATGCAATCTGGAGCCCCGGATTCTACCTTGTATCCGGCTGTCTAGAAATGGCTACGTTGGTTTCCGGTTAGCAGGAGTGGGAAACTCTACGCTTTCGGATTTCTTTGCACGTACACAAAAGTTTGGTCGACATGCATCGTTCACCATCAGCCTTTGGTCTCTTGTCTTCCCAATGTCAGCCTCTTTGCATATCGGGGCTTGACAAGCAGGACACAGAAGCTTCACCCATTCTGGCATCTCCGTTCCTTCATTTGCCAGATGTTCGTAGGCATAACAAATGAACAGACGATATGGACCACACTAAATTACCCATTCAAAATCAGATAGCCTTGCAAACATGTTTGATTACCTCATCGCGTTGAATCCGGCGATGACTGGCGCTGAAGAAGGTAGATGAAGCATCGTTGTGGTGGAAGGCGGGGTTTGTTGGCTGCCGAATACTTGCATCACTGAAAGAATTGGAATCGGAGCTGGTAGTAGCAGTAAACCCTTGGAAGTCTATAAATAAGCGAAAAAAACTGACGGACTGCCGTGGCTGTTGCTGAAGAAGACGATAATCAGTAAGTAGATGATCAGCATCGTGTCCCTCAGGAACCGATGACGACGCCTCATCGACGGTCGAGTAGGCGAGGCCGAAATTGTCGCGAGTGTCGAGTGGAATGAAATGCATCTTCGGAATTCGAACTAAGATTTCTAATGCTAATATATTCAAATTTGTTGAGACAAAGCTAATTAAGATTTCTGGATGCAAATCAACGGTTTCCGAAGCTTCCTAGTCGATTTTGGAACCGTTGATTTATGGTTCTTCTTTTTCTGATGCTCTTTCTGTAACAATAAACTAGAGATGTTACGAATCAAGTAATATAATGACCAAGTAAATTTGCTTGAACAACTTTATTTGCATCTGAAATCTTCAAGTAAATATAAAATTATTTTACGCCGTTTGCTTGAATAAGCATCAAGTAAAATAAAATTACTTGATTTACTTGATCTTGATTGATTTGGGAGAATTACTTGATTTTCAGCGAAATTACTTGATTTTGTGCAAATTCGCGATGCAAATCAGGCAATCGTGCCGCGAACCCAGTAAATTAGCATGCGATCATGTCATAAAGTTCATTACCATCCGAAAAATGCCAGAATTCCAGAAAGCTATTGTTTGAATCAAATAAATCAAGTAAATCAAGTAATCTTACTTGGTTCTTTCTCGAGCGGAGTCAAATAATATTATTTTACTTGGTCATGCGCTCAGCCCGATCCAAATCAAATAATATTGTGCCATTGTATGCAAATAATCTTGATTGTTAATTGATTCTTAACATCTCTACAATAAACCCCGAGCTTTAGATGTCAACGATAAAATGTCCCCGTCCTTGGTAAATAAAATAAAAACATTTTTTTGACCAAAGCCGCCTTTCGGATCAAGGTAAACCCGTTCCTGGTCGTTATGTAGTTGTTTTTGTGGTTCTTTAGGATTCGCGGGGGGGAACGCTTTTTTTTGGCCGCAAGCCTAATTTTTTGTAAATAGCAGATTCGTTTCTAAATTGTTTCTAGCTATCTCTAAGCATCAAAACTATACAACTTTTCGTTAAAAAAAATTGATTTTTCGACTTAAATGACTACATTTCCGATTTTTTCAAACACTTTTCCAACTTTTTTCGAATGTTTTTTTACTTTCACAATGGCTTAAATTACTAAAACAAATAAAAGCACTTTATGTACCGCTAAAAAAAGCGGATGGTCCGCCGATCCTAAAGAACCGTTTTTGGTTACTAAATTCACAGTGTCCGAATAAAAACCCCTCGATGCTTGGCGTTTTTCGACCCATTTTTGATACCATCGGAAAGATTCGGAACGAATTAGTAGACTGACATTATTTTGACGGCGCTTTTGCGCCGGCGCGTGTTCGACTCGCCCCGGCTCCGGATCGTTCCGGATTGCTGCTTTAGCCTGATAGGATTCCCAGTCACCTGATCGAAAAATCGCCCGATAGAAAATCATCTAATCAAAAATTGTCTAATCGATAATAGCTCAAAAAGTAGTTTTAACACATGTTAGCAGCCTAGAAAAACCCTAATTTTTTGAGTTATTTTCGATCAGGCGATTTTTCGATCGGAAGATTTTCGATCGGGCGTTTTTCGATCAAGCGATTTTCGATCAGGCGACTGTCAACCCCTGATAGTCATCCGACCCATCTGTCGCAAAAAGCCCATGGTTATTTCCCTGTTTGCTGAGAACCATTTGTGCTAAGTCGGGTTTTTTCGAATGTGAACGACCATCCGTCATTTTCTGCACGATTTATCCCAAAAGAAATCAATGACATCCGTCATGAAAGAAAAGATACATGGTAATACAAAATGGGCGGTACAGGTTCGTGAACATTTTGTGTGATCAGTTAGTGTGGTCGGGGTGCGTGGTCGAGTGCCTTCCGTTCTCTTATTTCTTTTCATCCTTCTTCACGTTCGGCTTTGCCATTTTCGTTTGCTCCTGCAATATGGCATGTGTACGTGCTCAAAAAGTCGGGTGTATTTACATAGCATCTGACTCACCTTAGTGTCCGTATAATCCTTGGCTTTCCAACCCTCAGCCAGTCTCTTGTCGAATGCATCTTGCGCTGAAAAAGCACGCATATTTTCGATGCTCGCCCACCCTAATTGTTAAAATTAACTGAAACTTTTAGTCTTTTATAGCAGTCAAACCCGATAGAATTAGTGAAGGGTACTCATAGGACAGCGGGGGGGGACAATCATCATTATGAAATTTGCAATTACTGCGGGATTTTGCAAGCGCCATTCGATAGAGCGTCGAAAAATCTACTCACAGAAATGATTCCAGCCCAAAATAATGTAATAGAAATTTTTATTGAATAAACCGAAATTGAGCAAAATCTACGGGCAGAACATAGGATAACGGGGGGCGGAGGGGGGAAGCCAAATTTTGGTATTTTGAAAACGCCATTGGATAGAGCGTTGAAAACTGCTCTAGGAGAATTAAATACAGCTCGAAATAATGTAAATGCAATTTTTTATCGAATAAACAAAAATCGACCAAAATCCATGGGCAGCACATAGGATAACGGGGCGGAAGCCAAATTTTTGAGTGTTTTGATATTTTCAAGACGCCAATCGATAGAACGGCAAAAAATATAAGAAGAGATGTTTTACAACACGCAAAAATGTATTATAAAAGTTTTATAGCCTAAAAACTATTTTGAAAACTATGGGCAACACCTAGGATAACGGGGGAGAGACATATTTTCGGCGTTTTGAAGATTTTCGATATTTTGACAATGTTATTCGATAGAGGGCCAAAAAATATACTAAGAGCTTTTTCATAGCCCGAAAAAAGTATATTTAAAAATACCTTTATCATAAAAAAACTTTGAGTGCCCGCTCCGTTGTTTTATTCCCCCCGCTATCCTATGTGTACCTTGGTGAAGAACCATAAATTTTAACCCCAACCAGAGTTGAAAAGCCGTTTCGCAACTTTTCAACCCTACCCCCCTCTAACCCCATAATATTCTTCATTCTGCATAAGTTTCTGGAATTCAGATGAGAAAAAGGCTTAAGTGCAGTCGACCCCACCTACCGTATCTCGGCTCCCTGTTCACTTGCAGGTGTGTAAAGTATACCAAGATACTCGCCAGAGCAAGACGAACATTTTGGTATACATTACACACCTGTAGATGAACAGGGAGCAGAGATCCAAAAGTGGGGTGCCGGCTGGGGGGGGGTAAACTGAATTCTAACCGAGAAATATCATCAGCAATAGCGCATTTTTCTATAGCAAGCAAGTGTGTAAACTACCTATCAAAGCATTTCAGGATTATTTTACCAGGATTTAAAACTGGCAGTTTTAGGCCATTTGCGCGCAAAAACCGGTTGTGACGCTTTAACCAGACCGGCACCGCAACTTTTTGAAAATGGATTCGAAATCAGCGGAAAATTCTGTGCAAGATGTCTTATTTACGCACTGTAATTCCACGGCCACCAAAAAACGATATAGGGAATGCGGAATCAGTGAATGGTTTATCCCCCCCGCCCCGCCGCGGGGACTGGAACCTAACTCACTCTCGATCTTGTCGTTCATGTTGACGATGAAGATCGGCACGATGGCGTTCTTCTCAGGATCGACGAAGAGAACGGCGCCAAGATTTTTCTAAAATTAAATTATGCTTACAGGGCGCAGAAGTGCCAAATATAGGCCGTTTGGGAGGGGCCTTATATCTCGCTTTACGTCCGCTGCGGTCGGCTATGGACTTATCTTGGGCTTATATTTTGGGGCTAATATTTATATTCCTCCCAACAGGGCCTAGATTCGGCACTTCCGGGTCCCTTTAAGGTTATCGTTATCCAGGACAAAGAACACTGTAATTATCGCCGCAGGCAGCCGGATAATTCCTAAGAGAAGCCCTTTTAGTCAGCTTCAAGCATAGCTTAAGCCAAAATAAAAACTATTGAGAAAACGTTTGATAATAAATTTTTTTTTCGAAATACTCATTTTTCTGAGTTTTCATCAGGGTTTGGAAAGTTGGGTTCTTTAGGATTTCCGGGGGAACCAAATTTTTTCCTGGTTTTCCCGGTTGACCTAGTAATCAAATATAAAGTGTTTTCACATTGTTTTCAGTAAATTTTAACTATATTTAAAGTAGAAAAACCTTTCAAAAAACTTAGAAAAAAGTTAGAAAAAGTCGAAAATTTAGTCATTTTGGGTCTTTCCCCCTAATCCTAAAGGTTCTCTAGGATTTTTCGACCTAAAATTAAATTTTTTAATTAAAATGTGGGTAGTTTTGATGCTCAGGAATAGTTAAAAACCATTTAGAAACGCATGCGCTATTTAGAAAAAAATTTAGGCTTGGGCCGAAAAAATTTGGATGCTAAAAAGCCAAAGTGCCTTACCTCGTCGCAGTAGAACGACGATGAGAAGACGGTGGCCAATGGAAGATTGGCAAACCTACGTACGCCGTTCGTCATCATCTAGGGACACATTGTTTTCAGAAGAAAATTGCAGGAAGTTCTAGAACAATTAAGAAATTTATAGGATTCCGGGGGTGGGAATCGACCTCATAACCTTTAAGGAAAATTGACGCCGAAGGCGCTCTTTCCTCCAAGGTTTCTTTTTGATCACAAAAATTAAGCAATGAAGACGGTGTTTGTTTGCCAAAATTTGCCGCAGAAGATGAGAAAAAGAGTGGAAAAAGGAAAAAGCAGACTCTTTCGCCGCCGAACAACCGTGGAGAATTGTCGAATGAAAAGTGTTCTTGTTGTAAGTAGTGTTGTCAGCCTGGATTTTAGTTACTGTTGAGGGTCTAATACCCCTCTGCCCCAATTCGATGTAATAATGCGATATCCCCGAGGCGGTCGCTCTTTTGGGAGACCCTGTTTTCTCTTTTTGTATTTTCGTTGGCGTGTACCTGGTGACCGCGAAGGACGAAGTCGACGCCCAGCATTTCGATCGTTTCCTCGATTTTTTTCGGGGGCCAGAGCTGGCCGCCACCGCGCGAGGTGTTGGGCGAGATACTAAAGATAGATAGGACGACTTGCCTGGGCAAAAGCACATGAGATACTTTTGACCAGGATGGACAAATCACTATGTATCAGGTTGGCAAGCCAGTAATTTTTGTGATTGACAGTCACATTAATGTGCCAACGGTATTTAAAAACAACGATGCCAATTCCAGACCGCGTGAACCGGAACCGTAGCTTACCGGACGACTTCCTCTGACGGATCATTCCACCGCATGTTCCGGGCCATGTCGGAGAAATGTGCCGGAGATAGATCAGCTTGAACTCCCAGATCCTCTTTTGTTAGCTCGACCGCTGGAAAAAAAAGATTGCGAGCGGATGTATGTCACTACTTTGAGAGCTGTATATGGAAATCGGACCCTGGTGAAATGCAGATTTCCCCCCTTCCCCCACCGTCCCCCACCTCGTCCCCCACGACGAAGTATAGTGCAAACCCCGTTTAATCCCAGTTTTGCCTTAGAATGTCGAAAAATACCGATATGTCGAAAACCAGCCGTTCCCCGATTTTCAAAGGTTATTTTTTGTTTTGGCCATAATTTTTTTATATTGCGACACTTTGAGCTAAAACAAAAACACAAATTTTTCGAATACGCTATAGAACGGTGTTGCAAAAATTCCGAAAATAATGAAAATATCCAAAAAAGGCAACTATTTTTGTCGCCAGCGTAAAATTGTCCCCCACACTCGGCTTCGCCTACATGCCTTGTAAAACCGGGAAAATGTCACAGATTTTGTTCTTGAAAATATGAGAGCTTGGAAAATATTAGAAATGATGCGTAGTAGAACCCACCTAGCATGCCGTGCATGCAGAGAATCCGACCGTCAATCACCCCAAGGCTTGGCAACTTTTCGAAAAGCTCGAGAAGCAATTTGATGGCTTGCTCCGCCTCGTCGCTGTATCCGCGAGCAAGCATGTCGGCTTGGAAATCTTCGCAAGTCTCCTTTTCTTCGTGATTACCACGGACGATGAAAACCTAAAAGTAACCGTTCCGTATCGTTTCCTGCTATAGAAAAGAAAATAGTTCCTGTGTGTTTGTGAATTGGCATGACATCTCAATAAGGAAGGGGGTTTAAGGCACGTATGGAACGTCATGAGCTGTGTCCATGCAATATTCTGGATACAACGGAACACATCAGATGTCGAAAAAGGGTGCTATCCTACCAGAGAAGAAAAAATATTGTTTGTGTGTTGTGTGCATTTGCATGCAACTACCGTCCGGTCGTCCCAGACCCAGCCGGTTAGGGGATTTTAATATACGTATGACACGTCATTACGTGCGCAATGGTCTCGAGATAAGTGCACATATAGGAACGACTCAAACATTGGCAATTTTTGCCAATTTAAGAATATTTAAGTTTTTGTGGAAATCTCGGAAAAAAATTAACATGTACCGGCGTATCTAAAGGGGCACAAGGCGATGGTTCTCATTTTTGGCGATCGGTATTCAGCAGGGGTTAAAATTCAACAATTCATTCTATTCTATTGCGACCGGGGGGGACTTTGCGGGGGGATATGCTTCGAGGAAACTTCCATCTTTGCGCTATTTTCTTCGGGTTTTTGCAACGCCAATCGATAGGGCATCAAAAAAACTATAAAAAGAGTCTTTGTTTTAGCTAAAAATAATGTAATATAAAAAAGTTATAGCAAAAAATAGCGATTGCGGTGGTGCCGAAACCTTAGTTTTCGGCATTTTCGTTATTTCAAAAATATATTAAGGGTTTTAATTACAACTCCCAATAACGTATTATAAAATAATCATAGCAAAAAGAAGAACATCCCCCGCACAGTTTTCCCCGGCTCGAAATAGAACAGTACCTTCAGCAAAATTATGTAATGTGAAGCATACGATGGCTGGCACAAGAGTAGTTGGGACAGTTAGAGCAGAGCAGTTTTCTCCATTCCTTTTTGATCGAGTTTTGGACAAACAATGCAAATTGGTGACGATCAAGGGCCCAAACGGTGCCAGGGTTGAGAAGTCGCGCAGCGACTTTTCAAACCTGGAATCCTATAATACGGGAAAAAGGGTCAGTGCCCCCCCGGCCGCCTCCGGGTCGCCGACCTGTTTGGGGAAGACCGCCTTGTATGCCATAATCAGGATCAAGCATTCCAGTTGACGGGGCCCCCGATCGACGATGTCTCCGAGGAAGATGATGCTAAAAATATGATAGCCAGAGAACGGATATCGAATTCTACTTTTGCTTGGGCCCTTGATCAACTACATCTGACAGCCATGCATGGATGATGCGCCAAAGGTCGTTGAACTGCAAGGAAAAAATATAACTCGATGCTCGAAAAAATGAAAAAAGATGCGCACATTTCCATGGAGGTCCCCGACGACAATCGTCCTTCCCTGGGGCCGCGCCACTCCGTGTTCCTCTTTGAATATATCTTCGAGTTCCAAGTATAAACTATGAATCTCGTCGCCATCCGGGGTGTAGTACGGCTGAGATAACTTTTATGTTTTATACAGGGTGTCCCATAAAAAAGCACCCTCCCGCATTTCGCCATATTACATCCGATCGGTCCCAAAATTGGTTCAGAGGTGTATCAGACCATAAAAAACCACAATCCTGAGTTATAGCCCGAGCGCTACAGTAGTTTTCGGGTTACCGCCAAAATACTCTTTATTATCCGTTTTTCCTAAGGTTTTCGTCGGAATCGATTTTTCGAGTTTGAAGTGAAAATGAAGCGGCATGCCTTCTTTACACTAGAAATTTTTTCCTGAAAAATTCATTAGATACCCGTTGATTTCAACCCTTTTGGAAACCCAAAGTCACCCCCGTTGTTAAGCAAAATTACAGATTCGCAGTCGGAATTCGATGCAAAGTCCAAAAAGATAGCCGGAAAAACTGTTAAGAATCGCGTAAAAAAGAGTATTTTGGCGATAACTCGAAAACTACCGTAGCGATCGGGCTATAAATCAGGATTGTGGTTATTTATGGTCTGATACACCTCTTTTCCAATTTTGGGACCGATCGGATTTAATATGGCGAAATGCCGGAGGGGTGCTTTTTTATGGGACACCCTGTACATGTTGCGCGCACGTCCCGCTATCCTCTGTCACTACACGCGTCTCGGGAAGCCGCCCGCCAAAATCTAAAAGTCCCTCCCGACGTACCTCCTTGTTGTCCATTGCCAGATAGTCTTCGCTGCTCAACTTTGCGATAATCTTCAGAGCTATTTCCCTGGTCTGCGGATCATTGCCCGTGACAGTCAAGGCAGGTTTTTCCTTCGGTCTCGGGGGCTGCTTGGCCTTCCAGGCCTTCTATAAACGGGACCATCGTAATGCGATCGCTTTTCACTACTTTTCAGAATTTTTTTTGAGGCAGTCTCAACTATGCCAGATAAATTCCTTTTGTATTCCGTTACGGATGCAATCCAATCATCAAACTGAAACTCACAAACTTCTCGATATCCATTCTCAGCGCGAGGCCGCGAGCAGCCAGGTCGTAGCGGCCGGGTTGACGTTTGATCGGACGTGGCGTTCCTTTCGTCTGGAATTGACAGCGTATATAAATACATCTGCACATCCCATACATCTGTCTTTCTATAAACACCGCGGGTTCAAAAACCGCTTCCCGGCTTTACAACCCTGGCCCCCGTCCAGTCCACTTGATCGTCTACACTTTGCATATCTGTCCCGAATCCCCGTCACCAAAAAAATATCATCTCCAGCCCATTACGCATCTAATGAGGTATCAAACACCCCCTTAGACCCATCCCCCGAACCCCAAGTTGCATGCAACGTGGCACATACACACACCCAGACATTATTTTTTTATATATAGTAGGATATAGGAGAAGTAATAAGATGAAAGGAAACTCCACACTGCGAGCAGCGGGAGTCTCAACAGTCCGAAGCCTGCGGAACCCCGAAGCGTGTGAACGCGCAAGCGAGCGAACGGCAACGCCGCCAAAGCATACGAATAAAACTGATTACCATCTTCTCCAAATGCGCCATGTGCCCTCCTTCGATATTGGTGGTGATGAGCTTGTACTGGCCCTCGGCGAGATTAACGATTTTCGATGGTGCCTTCATCGGGGCAGCTGGACCAAATCCACCAATAGCTGGAGATGGAATCGGTGCCGTCGGGGGTGGCTCGACGACGGCTGGGACGGCCGGGGAAATCCCGGGGGCAGGTTCCGGATCGACCGGTGGGATTGGTGATACCACCACCGTCTTCTCCGGGTCGTCGTCCTTCTTCTTCCTGAACGCGCGCGGTTCGCAAGAATGACGAAAACTACTTTTTGAGCCTGCAACCCAACACTGCACCGCAGACCGACAACAGCAGGACGCCGCCGACACCTGAACAAAAAAGGTATCAAAAGGTAGGAAAGAACATGTGTCTGACCAGCCCCGATCCCGATCAGCGTTTCACTCGATAGAGCGGCAGCTGTCGTGGTAGTGATGATGAAAGTCGGTTCCGTTGGGGCTCCATATCGATTCGTGCAGATTTTCTGGAAATGATTCGTTTTCAAAGGTATTCAATTCCCGAGGAATCATCAAAACTGCTCAGCAAGCATCTTACAGTGTCATTGGCTCCCTCGCAAGGCGGCGGGTCGATGGCCAGTCCGCTGGTGTTGCCGTTTCGGAACTGGACAAAGATGTTCGTGTCGCAGTTCAGAAACTGGTCGCCATTGACCCTCTGCAGATCCTCGCCCTAAAATGGTACCAGTTCATCTGCAGATGTTGTGAAGATACCGCCAGTCCGGCCACGTTGATGCATCGTGGGTATTGAATCTTCTCGGAGGTGTCATCTTGGCGGCGAGCACGACCCCTTTTCTCATCTGGCGACGAGAACGGCCGGATCTGGAAAAGATATTTCAGTGAGCCTGGCTGGAAGCAATCCTAGTAAGAATGATACATGGTATACAAAAAGAGCACATTACTATCATTAGTACCCCTCGCTTATGGTGAAGAGAAGATACATTTTCCGGTCCTCCCTCTGTGGGGTTATTTGTTATCGTTTCCGACGTCTCCGGAGCGTTAGGAGCCGTTGATCCCTCACTGCTGGTCACGGCGCCAAGCATCAGGTTCTCCGTTTCATCCATGAAGACCGCGTACGGACCGGACTAAAAGAAGGTCATACGTTCTGGCTGAGCGAATTATGAAAAAAAACAGGTTCAGGGTCATTCCAATAATACCAACCATTGCTCGCCGGGCTGAGAAATAGGGCATGGCTCCTCCGGGATTCGAGATATCCAGAAAGACACAGTCATCGTATGTGGCGGCCCCGAATTGGTATTCACAAGGTTTGTCGCAGTCCTTTGCATGAAGAACGACGTCTGAGGCAAACATAGAAGCTCTGAAAAAAGTTATCTGAGGCACTTTTTGCAATTTCCTACGGCGGTCGACCATCGTTTTTGCAGATTGGTAGTGGCTGACACGTGTCGCCTTTCTGCCGCCCTCCCTTGCCGCAATACTGCAAATGGCATGTATTAGCACGAATTTATTGAATACCTCAATGCTCAGTGGATTAACTGCATCGTATGGGTAATTGCTGAATAACGATAGATCCCCAACAGCGTATCCGGCGGCTAAGTGGAGACTCGGGACACAAGTGATAAGTGGAGCGTCAGGTCCATCGCCATGCTTCTTATGTGCTTCAACGACAATTCTAAAATTATCTTGACGCCGGACCACTTATGGGCGAATCTTTTCGAAATTAGATATTTTAGTGGAAAGCCTAGCATCTTGCACCTTTCGAACAATACTTTTGCTAATCTCACGTCAGGAAAAGTAAAAAAGCATTCTAAATCCTCTGCAGCCAAGAGCTGCCTAGTAAAAATACAGTGGTCGTAGAAACAAGCAAAATACTTACGCTGGTACTATGAAGCCGGCGTCACATTGCACAAAGTACTGGTTGGTTAATGCAATTCCGATTGTCACGTATGGATTCGTGCTCCTAAATGAATTATAGCAATCAATAATGACCAAAAAGACCCCACCATGCCTTTCCTTCACATTTTCCCGCTGCTATCATTTCCCGTGTGCACAGATTGAAAGGGAACATGACTTTGTCTATAGAAGTGGCTGCTAATCACCGAGAAAAAGGGTACCTTTCCCATCGTTGATCGTTACGGGCAGGATGCAATCTGGTGCCCCGGATTCTTCCTTGTAGTCCGCCACCTGTAAATGGCTACGGTGCTGAGGGCTGCCGGGGTCGTGAAAAGTGAATATCGGAGTATTTGATGGTTAGCGGTTCCATGGAAAGAAGAACAAAAATTAGTTTTGGTAAGACTCTAGTTTACCCCCCCCCCCAGCCCCAACTTTTCAGCCAACTTATCTCAAAATGTTCGCTGGTCGAATTACTATAAATAAAGTTGTTTCCTTACGGCAAAAAGTGTTAGAAAATTTTTTACAAGATTTTGAAAGTTGGAAAGCTTAAGCCGCTATGCTTCAATGTACCAGGAATCAAAAACTCAAATATTTTTGTTTTCCGCGATTTTTTCGAGTCAAACGTACTGTAGGCTTATTCTACAGAGCAAGAGCTACATTTTGGTACCATTTGACAGCTCTGTAGGACAAAAGATAACCGTGATAAAAGATAAAATTAACTAAAGAAAACCCAGACTTATAATTGTTATAAAAAATTTTCTAACCACTTTTTATGTAAGTAAACAACTTTTTTATAGTAATTCGACGACGGCGAACATTTTGAGTTACCCCACGCATTAATAAGACGTATGGCTGAAAAGTTACGGCTGGGGCGGGGTAAACTAGAGTCTAGCCTTAGTTTTCCCTGTTAAAAATCGGCGCACTTACGCAAAAATTTGGTCGACAAGGATCTCGAACTAACAGCCTTGGTTGGCCGCCGGTTTGGACGTTTGCTGGGCAGATCGCCGTGATGCAAGCGACGCATTCAGATTGAATCCATGCCGGTTTCTCGATTCCCAGCGTAGCCAGATGATCGTGAGAATAGCAAACGAAGGGCCGGTTGCCCGAACACTAGAGGAACAGTTTTTGAAGGGAGTGAGGGGTCCCAACTGGATCTTCTCGCCTGATACGGTGGTGGGTGGTGGCGAAGAGGGTAGATGAGGTGCCGTTGTGGTGAAGAGCGGCGTTTAGCGAAGGCGGAATGTTTCCATCACTGAAATAATCCAAATGGGAGGGTTTAGCTGTAGTAAACTTTTCGAAGTCTAGGAAGCATCCAAAAACCTAACGCATTGCCATGGCCGGTGCTGAAGAAGACGATAATAAGCAAGTAGACGATCCGCGTCGTGCCCGTCAGGAAACGCTGACGACTTCTCATCGACGGTCGTGTAGAGGAGGCCGAAATTGTCCGAAGTGTCCAGTGGAATGAAATCGCTTCCTCTGAGGCCGAGTTTCCAATGCAAATAAGTTTTGATTTTCGGGATGCAAATCGAACTTGATCTTCCAAGATTGATCCTGTCTTCGCCCGCAAACTATTTCACGAAATTCGGGTTAGACTTCTTCGTATATTTTAATGTTCCAAATTACTCTATTTAGCATATTGGATCGAGAATTTATTCTGATTCGAGTCGTAAATTTTGCTATTGCGTTAGGAGCTTTAGGCGACCGCTTGAGGGCGTGTGAAATAGGTTATTTTTCACCGCCCCATAAAAAAATCGGAGTCCATACCAAATCATCAATATTTTCAGTTTTTATCAAATTTGAGTTAAAAGGCCGTCCGCCGGTCAGTCGAACAGCCCACATGATGCCTTGGCACAGTTTTTTCGACCCCGTTTTTTTGATGCCATCTGAAAGAGCATAGTCGAATTAGTAGGGTGGCGCTATTTCAAAATTTTTAAAAGTTCATTTTCTAGGTTTAAATGGGTGTTAAATTTGAAAACCTTCAAAAATTATCTCGCGATCCACTTAACCAAATTGCTCGAAAATTTCAGACAATACTTAATTTGGGGTGCTGATCATTTTTGTAATACATTGTAAAGCATGAAAATAGCCGGAACATAGGAATACCGCGTACCTGGTGAGGTTTTTCGCCATTTTCTATTTAATGGGTATGCGTCGCCACTCTAAAAATATCCTTAAAAGATGCGCAATTGAATTCTACATCGAATCATGTATTTTCCAGCGTGGCGACAGATACCCATTAAATAGAAAAAATGACATTTCTAAAAACAACTAAAATGGCTCCACAAACATAAAAATACTGTATTTTGGCAATCCGCGAAGTTCAATCGACTCTAAAGAAGAAGGCAAGCCGATTGGAAAAAAGAGCAAAAAGAAATATGGGTTTTGCGCGAAATTGGGCTCGGTGGGGAATCGAACCCGCGATGGTCCGCCTGGGGGCACTGGGGAAAGCCACTAGTGGGCGCCGCCACCTCCCCAGGCGAACGACCCGAGTTCAATCCCAGCCCCCTTTTAGAAATCGAATTTCGTTTTGCTCTTTTTTGCAATCGTTCGGTTTTGGTCTCTATATACGAAAAACTGTCTCTCTTTTCCGGAATACGCAATTTTTTTCTGTTCGGCGTCTTTAAAGGCGATTTTTCGATTTAATGGGTATCTGTCGCCACGCTGAAAAATACATGATTCTATGTAGAATTCAATTGCGCATCTTTTAAGGGTATTTCTAGAGTGGCGACGCATACCCATTAAATAGAAAATGGCGAAAAACCTTACCAGGTACGCGGTATTCCTATGTTCCGGCTATTTTCATGCTTTACAATGTATTACAAAAATCATCAGCACCCCAAATTAAGTATTGTCTGAAATTTTCGAGCAATTTGGTACAGTAGATCGCGAGATAATTTTTGAAGGTTTCCAACTTTAACACCCATTTAAACTTAGAAAATGAACTTTTAAAAATCTCGAAATAGCACCACCCTACTAATTCGACTATGCTCTTTCACGTGGCATCAAAAAAACGAGGTCGAAAAAAACTGTGACAAGGCTTGTTCGGGTCTCTGGCAAACGGCCTTTTAAAGGCCTTATTTTACAGAGCAAAAAGTGCTGAATACTACCAAAATAGTGGGCCTTGAGATGGGAAAATTTGGAAAATGATGTAAAATTGCTGTAACTTTTTAAATTAGGGTATTTCGCAAAAATTGAAGACATCTTTGGAATCAGCAATAAATTCTGCACAAGATAGGCCGGGTGTCAATGCGAAACTTTGTCACCCAAAAGTGTCTCCTTGTGAGACCACCGTGTTAGATACAGGCAGGCCCGTAGCGGAACCGAAATTTCGGGGGGGGGGGGCCCAAAATTTTGGCGACCTCCCCCGCAGCGCCGCAGGCAGAAAAATTTTTGTAACTAAAAATCATAAGGGTACCCCCTTATGAATTTTTCAGACCTCGACCAATTTCGGGGGGGGGGCCCAGGGCCCCCTGGGCCCCCCCCCTCCTACGGGCCTGGATACAGGTATGACAGTCTCTTTTCTCTTACAAGGAGTGCCCTTTTAGTGTCATCGGCAAAACCTTTCACGACCTAGCTCATTCGATAGAGAATTGAATTCTGAACAAGCTCCCGTTGTTCGTTTTTGCGGAATGGCTGTCTCCGATTTCATAAAATTAAAAAACTAAAAACAGCATTTTTGGACCTCGATGCTCGCGCCACCCCCAAAACCAGCCGCCGGGGGAAGAGCCGCTCTGACCTCTCCACACCACCAGTAAGCGTGGCGCAGTGGCTAACACCACGGCCTACCAAACTATTTTGCGATTCAGTCAAAAGTTCGAAACTCACATCAACAATTCTTTTTGCTTTTTGAATTTTGATTGCGCTGGGTTCATAGGTCAAAGTCCGTTTTATCTAAAGCAGAGACAACCGAACAGTCCTTTGTGAAAAAGCCTATGTTTTTGAAAACCATGCGCTAAATAAGAATCTAGTTGGTGCAAGCCGGCTTTTCTCAAAAATGCACATGAAACGGCCACAGGGGGTTTCAAGCGTAACTTTATTCAAAAAGCAAAATGAATTGTTGACGTGAGTTTCGAACTTTTGACTGAGTCGCAAAATAGTTCGGTAGGCCGTGGTGTTAGCCACTGCGCCACGCTTACTGGTGGTGTGGAGAGGTCAGAGCGGCTCTTCCCCCGGCGGCTGGTTTTGGGGGTGGCGCGCGCATCGAGGTCCAAAAATGCTGTTTCTAGTTTTTTAATTTTATAAAATCGGAGACAGCCATTCCGCAAAAACGAACAACGGGAGCTTGTTCAGAATTCAATTCTCTATCGAATGAGCTAGGTCGTGAAAGGTTTTGCCGATGACACTAAAAGGGCACTCCTTGTTAGTCTCTTTTCTCTTAGTCTTTTTTCTCTTAGTCGCTTTGACAGTCGCCTGCCCAAAATCAGGGCACTGTTTTTTCACCGTTTATCCCAAAAAAATCAATGACATTGGTCATGAAAGAAAATACAGGGTGATGCGATATGGGCGGTGTTTGCGTGTAGCTTTTTGGATCAGTCAGTGTAGTCGGTTGTGTCGTCGAGTTTCATAGGTGTCCGCTCTTCTGCGTTTACTTCTTCTCTCCCTTCACCGTGATGTCCTGCAAAGCAAAGCATCGGTAGATCTTAGAAACGTCCGGGATATCGAATAGACGACTCACGTCGGGGATGACCGCATAATCATCGACGTTCCAGCCCTTACGCAGTTTTTCATCGAATTCCTCTTGCGCTGAAACAACATTGATATGGTATTTTCCGAAACCTGGCCCGCTTTCTACTATTGGAAGCGCCCACGCCCTGACTTTTGTGTATGGGACTTTTGAGGAGTTAGAGGGACGCGAAGAGTATCAAATGAAGCGCTCGAAATGGGTTTGGATCGAGTGGTACGGAATGTCGATTTGCGGCATCAACCGCCAGAATCGGTGCGGTCCAGAATCGTAAATTACATTTCTTGTTCATTATGCCCAGAATATTTAAGTATTCTAGCCTCGTAGCGATGCCACGATTCGCTGCGGTTGGCGAGATACTGTGGCCCAAATTTTTTTCTCAGCTTTTTCCTGGGCACCATGTTGGGTTTCCGCGATATCTATAGGATCTGTACGCACTCTTGATGCTGTCCTTGTGGTTCACGATGAAGATCGGCACGATCTCGTTTTTCACAGGATTGACGAAGATAACGGCGCCGAAATTCTCCTAAAATGAAGCGTAGTTTTCTTTTGACCGAGGTACATGAAACTGTAATTATGGGCACGTCTACATATTTCCAGCCTAAAACTAATGAGAAACGATCTAGCAAAAAAATTCTGGGTAGTTAAAGTAAAGTTCGAAAAGGCCGAAAATTTGGTGATTTTGGAACGAAACAATTTCATTTTAATTTTTTGATCGTTTATGCTTAGTAATTGCTGAAGTTGCTTCCTCCTTGCAAATGCAAAAAGTCTCAAATGGCCTTACCGCGTTTAGGTAGTACGAAGACGAGAAGACGGTGGCCAACGGGAGGTTGGCAAATCGGCGCACGCCGTTCGTCATCGCCTAGTGAAAGGTGCCGGTTATTGAATGTGTGCCGAAAAAAATTTGGTTCCCCCCGGAATGTCCATCTCGTCGAGCAGAGCCGATATCTGTTAAAAGAATTATTGGGAAAACTGCATAAGGAAAGTTATGAAGGTTTGAAACTGTGTTTTCGGAAAGTTTGGGCTACGCGACACTCCTTTGTACGGCCTTGGCGCCCCCATTTCGAAGCCCTGTACGAGCTCGCACCCATCCGAAGCGACTAGGGCCCCGGGTGGCACGAAGCCTTATTTTTAGGTAAAGTTTGAGTGTATCCTACTATATATAAAAAAATATTGTCTGTGTGTGTGCCACTTTGCATGCAACTTCCGTCACCATGTCCGGAAGATATCTCAAAAGGGGAGGGGTTTTAAGGTACGTATGATACGTCATTAGGTGCGTAATGGCTCTGGGATGACTGCACGCTTATCAGATGTTACAAAATCCGATATTTTAGACATTAAATTTCAGTTTTTGTAAAAAAATTCCGGGCATCCTCTTTGTTAGGAAAAAATTAGCATTGAACGGAAGTGACACTAGCCTATATAATGGGACAGTGCCAGCGTTTTTCATTTTTTTTCAGCAGAATTTATGAGCTCATGCAAAGTGACGACTTCAATAAGATCAGACGGGGCCAGGGTTGAAAAGTCGCGAAGCGGCTTTTCAAGCCTGGTTAGAGTGAAATATCCAAGGGAAACGGGCCTTTTTTGGCCCTTTTGGGGTTCGAACTTTGGACGCCGATATCTCGCTCCAAAACTGTTTCGAATTGTTTTTCCAACTGATCCTGAACCATCTCGTCGAGCTGAACATTTCTACATATAAAAAGTTTAGATTTGGCTAGGTTACCGTATACTTGAATTTAGCCGGAAAATGGCATTTTTCGGCAAAATTTATGCAAAATTGGCTCGTAAATGCCAAAAAATAAGAGTCCGCAGTAAATTTGGAAAACGGATTCGGAATCAGCAAAAATTTTTGCACAAGATGCATTTGGTCCCGAATCGAAAGTCCAACTTGAGTAAAAACACTTTACAGTAAGGCGAAGCGCGCATTAATGGGATGTATAATTTGAATCAGGAAAAATTATCTCTCAGCTGCAGGGTCTATTAGAGATTGTCTAGTAAGTATAGATACATTAGCTGACCGAAAACCTGGATGCTAAAAAGACCAAGAATAAAAGTCATAAACAAAGTCAAGTCCGCGGAGCTAACCTTCTGAACGGCTGAATAGTTTTCCCATCTGTACCTGGTGACCACGGATGACGAAGTCGACGTGAAGACGTTCAATCGCGCCTTTGATAGCTTGAGGGCCCAATCGCTGGCCGAAGTTTCGCGTCGCATTGGGCTCGACACTAAACATGATTTTTAACAGCACCTACACAAAATTGATAGGTGCACGTAAAAATTTCCGACACTTAATGTGGATTACTGAGAAAATTTTGGAAACGTGGACTCCTAAGCATTAATTAAGGATGATTATACTCTGCCATACCCCCCATGGGGGACGGGTCCCCAATCCTACACACGTCTGCCCCCGTCCCGCTATTGCGCGCCCCCAGGCATACGGTACCCCCACCCCCACCCCCCACCCCCCGGTGCCCTTTCAAACTGTTTTAACTTATCTATACCACCCTAGGGAGGTTTTTAATAGAAACTATTTTTGAATATATAGGAGGATCCACGATATGGACCTCTCACCCGATAAACTCCCCCTCCGCCCTGCTAACGACCCAGAACCGTCCGAGGTTAACCTACTGTTCAACATCTTCTGACGGATCGTTCCAGCGCAATAGCCTGGCCATCCCAGCGTATAGCGTCTGCTCCATTTCCCAGCCAGTTTTCAGAACGCCTCGCGTCAGCTCGGGCGCTGGAATTTGATCCTTTTGGTTGAATTTTGATAAAAATCGGCTATTTTTGGTCAAGAAATCGATATTTTTGACATTTTTAATCTATTTATGAATCTTTAGTTCTTTGTTAATTTTTATCAATATTGATTGACAAATTTAAACTTTGGGCTAAGAAACATTGTTCCAGGGTATTCTGCCGAATATCAGCCAGGTTATAGCCTTTTACACAGTTTCTAATTATAAGTACGAAATGACAAATTATCGAAATTTCAGAAATGTATGGAAAATGGCCAAACCCGTTCAACCAATTTAACGTCATTTTTATAACTTTCCAGCAAGCAAAACAAAGAAAAATACAGTATAGATGATCAACAGAAAGTATAGGTGGAAAGCAAAAAGTCGTTTTCCCCAGCTCAAAATCCCCCGATACGAGTCCAGAACCGCGATTGGAAGTGATTGCGCTGAACCCGCATGGTTTGCTGTAAAAAACCCACTGAGCATGCCGTGCATGCACAGAATCCGGTCGTCAATTAGCCCGATAACCGGAAGCTTTTCGAAGAAACTGAGAAGCGCGTCAATTGCGTCCTTTTTTCGCGGTTTCTGCTGCGGCTCTTCACCGGTCACGTCTTGTGTTGGGTGGATGTCCGCGCGGTACCCGCGTGCAACCATATGTTCTTGAAAATCGTAGCAAACTTGGTCCTCTTCGTGGTTGCCACGGACGATGAACACCTAGACGAACGGTACAGCAATTTGTTCTGCGTCTTCTTCGTCTGCGTTCTGCGTGTATTTGTCGGGGAGTAACGTCCAAAGTTTTGAAATGGTTATTAATATGCTGTCATCAACGGGCCATTACGCACCTAATGACGTATCAAACACCAGATGATCACAGCCGCTTCGCGACTGTAATCGGCTGGCCTTTGGGCTACCGTCCATTACATCACCACATTACCTGGCTCACTATGTCCAAAATCACCCCAAACTCCGTCCCCCCACCCCTTTTACTAAGGAAAAAACTTTCATAGTTAATTTTAATAATTTAAACTAAAACCTTTTCGTTATTTTTTTTATTAGTTTGGGGGTTTCTCACTACGCTCTATCCGAATCCGAAGAGATCTAAGCTCTAGCTCCTTTCCCCTTCGAGTTGAATTCGGGACATGACGGACGGACAGACAGACAGACACCACTACTTTTTTATTATAGTTGATACCCCTAACTACCCCCCCCCCCTTCCCCGTATTGAGATACTACTGGAACAATCTAACGGAAGTTGCATGCAAGTGCAATACACACACAAACACTATTCTTTTATACCAGCCGCTTGCAGCGGCGAAGCTGACTGGGAGCTGGACTTCGGGCTGCCCCTCGCCGAAACGCGCGCGATCTGGCTCACTATGTCCAAAATCGTGCAAACCCCCGTCCCCCACTCCGAAATTCGGCTTCACACACGCACACACACACACACACACACACACACACACACACACACACACACACACACACACACACACACACACACACACACTGTCGAAAGTTGCCAGCATTATGCTGCAACGTTCGATGGTTTGCTAAAAGGTGTACGTTACCGTAGCGCGGCGCCCCCTCCCCCGGAGAGGGGCGGAGCAGCTTTCGTAATTATCGACCAGACGAACTGACGGATTTTTATTAGGGTTTACGACCAGGTCTGTGTTGGTATTGCGATAGCAAAAGCCCAGCTATCTTTTGCTTTACGCCCAGCAGCTTTTGCCTAAGCCCAGCGAGTAAGACCAACACTTTAACCTGTCCCTTTTATCCAACGATGAGTGTATTTGTATTCTAATGGTTTATACTGCCGATAAACTTTGTGTTTTATCTTTTGTCTTCTATACCGAAATGCACTGGATTCTATTACACGATTGTAGAAACTACCACTGAACATTGTATGACTTCTTGTCTAGCTTCTTGGTGTTCCTCTGCCATCTTCTTGGTTCGTGATCTATCGGATACAGGATAGTCCGAGCGGGGGCCCAAGGGGCACAGTCCTAAGTATTAGTGTGGCAACTCTAGCCTCCTCCATGATCTATTATAGTAGAGGATTTGGCGCAGAGAGACTATTACTTTCGACATGGTGCGTCGGCCGGTTACGCCCAGCTCGCACCCGCGAGGAAAGACGTCCAGCCTATTCTACCAGTTGATGTTTCAAATTTTTCGGACATCGAATCACTGTTAGAATACACGTCCAGTGCCTTATTGGCAAACCCGGGTTATCCCGGTGCTGAAAACTTTTCGGCAATGGTCCAGCAAAGCAAGAGCGAACACGAGAGAAAGATGGTTGCACAAAACTATCTTATTCTCTGTCAACAACGAGATCATGCCGACGCCCTCGGCAAACAATCTCGCAGGTTCGTACAGAAGGACGCCTTCGGCATCTTGCGATTACGTAACCGAGTTACGAATATGCCCAGCTCAGCAGACGGAGAGCCGATTTTATTCGCTCGTTCTGCTCTAGCCCTGTTGCTTTATAAGCAAGCCCATGTGGAACACGGCATCCACTTGGGAAAATTCGAAACCAGGGCACGGCTTTTGCAGCGATTTCATTTGATCGGAGCAATCACGAAATTTACCTGCATCGAATGTAATGTTCGTAATGGCCGGCCGTACAAAAGCCCAGATGTTCCACCGCTCCCCCAGGAACGAACGTCCAGATGTATTCCGTTTCAATTTACAGGTGTTGACTTAGCCGGCCCTTTCACCTTGAAGGAAGAGAAGAACGAAACAGTACATGTTTGTCTGTTCGAATGTCTCGCCACAAGGCTGGTCCATCTGGAAGTTGCGCAGTCTACAAGCACGACCGATTTCCTCCGATGTTTGCGCAGGTTTGCTGGACGCAGAGGCTATCCTCACAAAATGTGGAGTGATAACGGAACTAATTTCCGTAAAGCCGATGCGGTCCTGACCTCGTTGCACCGGAGGCAATCGGAACAACGTGATACAGGTTCAGAACCTGAAAGCCCAGCCTCTGCTTCCGAACGACCAGCTAGTTTTTCGATAAGCCCAGACAATCAGGAATTTTCTGATTTCTTTGCCCAGCATGGAATTCAATGGATCTTCAACGCCCCCGCGGCGCCTTGGCAGTCTGGTCACGCCGAGAGGATGATTCAAGTCATCAAGCGGAAGCTCGATTCTGTGGCAGAAAGTCATCGATTCGACGCCGCTGACTTTTCCACCCTTCTCGTCGACATTGAGGCCAGCACCAACAACCGCCCTCTCGTTTTCTTGGATTGTGACAATGAAGTTGTGTCGCTCCGACCAATGGATTTTGTTCACCCCGGGATCAGAACCGCTCCAAGGTTTTATGATCCTGAGATTCAAGAAGATCCGGAATTCCAGGTCAAGGTGAATCCCACAGACGAAGCCGTCGGTGAATGGATGAACCGGTACCAAAAACAGCTTGACAAGCTGTGGCGCGATTACGACCTGTACTATTTGCCACAAGTTCGTGACAAAAATAAATACAGGTCGGTATCGAGGTCCGATAAGCCCAGCAAAGCTCCAAAAATCGGACATGTGGTTGCTGTGATCGAGCCTCACGGCAAGAGAAGCAGTTATCCACTTGGTCAGATTACGGAACTTATCGAAGGAAAAGACGGAGCTATACGCAACGTCAAACTTCGACTTTTCGCTTCAGGGCGCACTATGGTGAGAGCCGTCTCGTGCCTCATCATGGTTGCTGAGAACACCCTGAAAGTCGATGCCCAGGTTCTCAAAAAACTAAGCCCAGCCAAACCACCCACCGAACTCGTGGCCAAGATTGCCCAACATCACGATGTTGAAGAAAACCCTGCGGCGGCTTCGGAAAACAACTGGTTGGTTTCGCTGTTCTTAGAAAGACCAGTCACCTAAGCCCAGTTTTTCAGACGTCCAGATTTTTTCAAAGCCCAGTCTTTTCAAAGTCCAGTTTTTCAGACGTCCAGATTTTCTCAAAGCCCAGTTTTTTCCAAAAGTCCAGTTTTTCCGATGCCCAGGTATTTCAAAAGTCCAGTTTCCACAATGCCCAGGCTTTCCAAAAGCCCAGTTTTCCTTACGCCCAGGTTTCACCTAAGCCCAGAACGACGCCCAACAACTTGGTACATGAAGCTTCGTGGAAAGTCAAATTTCCTGTCGCGGATACCCATGCTGCTCAACACTACCATGGCCACAACCACATGTTCAACAATATACCAAGCTGACAGCATCCACCACTTTTATCAGGTTGTATATGCTTTTGTGTTTACCTGTACCCTCATCCGTTGTTCCCCCCACACCATGTTGCACACGGTTTTTCACGTCCCTACTTGGTTGTAAGGTCTAACTCACCACGCCTTTCAAAATTCTCTTAAAATTCTTCTTTTTGCTCGGGCCGGAAGGCCTTTCCACTACGCGTTCTCACCTAATCATACCCCGAAATCGATTACTGCTTTCAAGTCCACTAGACCCTCCCGCCATGTCTGATGTAGCCATTGCGTCCGTCTTTGGGCCAGTGTGTTTACCGAAGTCCGCGGTCGGTCGCTGAGTCGAAGGGTTCGACTCATACCTTCCTCAGTTCAGTGGTGCCCCACTCAGTCGCTGAGTTGGGGCGGCAGTGTCGAAAGTTGCCAGCATTATGCTGCAACGTTCGATGGTTTGCTAAAAGGTGTACGTTACCGTAGCGCGGCGCCCCCTCCCCCGGAGAGGGGCGGAGCAGCTTTCGTAATTATCGACCAGACGAACTGACGGATTTTTATTAGGGTTTACGACCAGGTCTGTGTTGGTATTGCGATAGCAAAAGCCCAGCTATCTTTTGCTTTACGCCCAGCAGCTTTTGCCTAAGCCCAGCGAGTAAGACCAACACTTTAACCTGTCCCTTTTATCCAACGATGAGTGTATTTGTATTCTAATGGTTTATACTGCCGATAAACTTTGTGTTTTATCTTTTGTCTTCTATACCGAAATGCACTGGATTCTATTACACGATTGTAGAAACTACCACTGAACATTGTATGACTTCTTGTCTAGCTTCTTGGTGTTCCTCTGCCATCTTCTTGGTTCGTGATCTATCGGATACAGGATAGTCCGAGCGGGGGCCCAAGGGGCACAGTCCTAAGTATTAGTGTGGCAACTCTAGCCTCCTCCATGATCTATTATAGTAGAGGATTTGGCGCAGAGAGACTATTACTTTCGACACACACCTCAAGAAAATTATTATAGTTGATATAGTGGGATTGTACAGTTTTCACGATTAAGGATAGTAAAAAAACTGTTTAGAAACCTTTCCACTACTTACATTTGAAAAATCAGATCCAAAGAAAGCAGTTTCCCCCTATAAACTTCCTTCTCCCCGATAGTGCATGGATCCTTACCGAAAAAGAAAAACCCCTTATCGTGGAAAGTCAGCCAAAATCCAAAACCTGGTAGGGGTAGTGCATCTTGTACGCCATAATCAGCAGCAAGCATTCAAGTTGACGGGGGCCGCGATCGACGATGTCTCCGAGGAACATGATGCTTAAAAGGCCGTTTGCGAGAAGACGGAAAAAGGCTTAGCACAATTCTTCCCCGACCCAATTTTTTGACGCCATCTGGACGTCATCTGGACATGGTCCAGTTAGTAGGATAGCAGTATTAATGAATTTTAAGAGTTAAACTGTCGGGTTAAATTGGTAGCCAAAGTTGCCAACACCAAAAATTTATCTCGCAGCCGCCGGACGAAATTGGCTGAAACTTTCGGGAACACGTTTTGAAATATGGGTATTTTTCTAATACATTGCAAAGCACGAAAATAACCGGAAAATGGTTCAATCACGTACTCGAGATTAGGGTTGTTTTTCCGGAACATTCCGGATCTCAGACCATCCGGAACAAAGACTTTTTGTATTGGCAACTTCAGCCGGCGCTTTAACCCGGAAATGTATCTTTGAAAATTCTTAAAATACTGCCAGCCTAATAATTGGACCATGCTCTTCCAGTTGGCGTAAAAAAAGGAAAGTTACTTTTGGCCGGGCCCTCCGTCAACCACATCCGACAGCCAAGCATGGATGATGCGCCAAAGGTCGTTGAACTGAAAATGAAACAGACGGTATCACAATAAAAACATCCGCCTGTAACTTGATGATGATGTATTGGTTGGGAAAAATTCATAAGTCATTCAGTTCATTCAGTTACGGCATTCATAAGATTCGAAACGGCGAGTTGGAAACAATCTTCAAAACCATGTTTTTATTGAAACGCATTTCAAACGGCCATTGCACCTAATTAACGGCACCTTTGGGCCATTTTGCCTGGAGACATCGAGGCAACCCCGAAAAACAATAAATTGCCACAAAATGACATGTGAAATAATATGTTTAAATCTAAGCATAGTTTCGAAGATTGTGGATTTGAAGATGCTCACATTTCCATGAAGGTCTCCGACGACAATCGTCCGCCCTTCCGGCCTCGCCACGTGCTTCTCTCGCTTCACCATATCACCCAATCGTTGGCACAAGATTTGAATGTGATCCCCGGACGGGTTGTATTTCGGCTGAAAATTGTTTTAATCTTTTCGCCATTTTTTCGGGCGGCCGGTGAATCTGGTGAGTACTACTCGCGCTGTGTGCTCGTGTGAGACTTGCCGTCTACTGGGTGTCCCAAAAAAACGAACCATCTAGGATTTCGGCGTGTTACATCCAACCCGCCCCAAAATTGGACCAGAGTTCTATCAGACCCTAAATATCACCAATCCTGAGTCATACCCCCCCCTAGCTCCAGTCGTTCTGCAGTTATCACGAAAATACTGTTTCCCGTAATTCTAAACATTTTTTTCTATCTTTTGGACTTTGCATCGATTTGCTTCGACTTCCTGTTGCGAATCCCTAATTTCGCTTAAGAAGGTGGGTAATTTTGCGTTGTAAAAATCGCTTAAATCGAAGCTGATTTGTTTAATTTCAGCCCGGAATTTTTAAAGTAAAGAGGGCTTGCCGAATCATTTTCACATAATGGTTATGGGGTCTAATTCCACGGAAACTCCATAAAAAATGAAAAATAAAGTTTTTTTTGCTATAAATAGAAAACTACTACAGCGACGGGACTATAAGTCTGGATTGTTGTTATTAAGGGCCTGATACACCTCTGGTCCAAATTTGGGGCCGATTGGATGTAACACGGCAAAATGCCAGATGGTTCCTTTTTTTGGGACACCTTGTAGGCGAATTTTACGACCTGCAGCGCTGTTTATCCCGCGATTTTGAAGATGAACACTTCAGTTTAAGGCCGAATTTACAAAGGTCGTGAGGTCGTATTATGTACAGTCCCCCCTCCCCACCGGCCGGCCTCAACTTTCGTATCTCGACTCTCCGTTACTGTACAGGTGTGTAAGGTATACTAAAAGGTGCGCCTTGCTCGGGCGAGTATTTTTGGTAAGTTTACAACCCGTTGGAGTCCCAGGGAGCCGAGATGCAAAAGTGGGGCGCCGGCTGATGGGCTAGTTGCACTCTAATCCGTCAGGAAATTTGGCCGCCGTCTTCTCCCCCTGCCCCCCCCCCCACGACAGAACTGGCCATGCAGCTGTCTGCCCTAGCTACCTCTTTGTTGTCCTCCGACAGATAGTAGGGGCTGCTCAACTCTTCGATAATCCTGTACGCCGCTCCATAGGCCGTTGGCAGTGGCTTGCCGGTAATATGTAGAGGGCTCGTTTTCCTGTGTTCTCGGAGGCTGCTTCGATCTCCAGGCGTTCTGCAAAACCTCAAATAACAGTTTTGAACGAAAGTTCTGTGGCCGAGATTTTGGCTGGCTGGCTACAATCGCAGAAAACACTATTCTATAAGCGCAGGGCGGTTGTTAGCCCCGGGATTTGGGGCCCACCAAATCCAATGCTGAATGCAAAACCCACGTGCTTCTCGAGATCGATTCTCAGCGCGAAGCCGCGCGCAGCAAGGTCGTAGCGGTTTTGCTGTGGTGCGAAGTCTCTTTGGCTTTCGGACGTCTGCAAAAACAAGCTGGAGTACTGGCCGTTGGTCCCGGAATGTCGCGAAATTAATGCCAACGAGGCATGGCCCAGAAAGGACGACTTTTTGGGCATTTGCAGCAGAAATTCCAAACCGCCAACTAGGGCAATCCCACTATCTAAGAAAAGTGTTATAAGGGAAGTAAAAACACTTTATATTTGATTACTAGGTCAACCGGCATCGCCAGAAAAAAAATTGGTTTCCCGGTACCCCCCCCCCCCCTCCACGCGAATCCTAAAGAACCGAACTAAAGCCAGCTCCAACATGTTAGCTTCGAGTGATTCATTACCATCTTCTCCAAATGCGCCTTGTGCCCTCCTTCGATATTGGTAGTGATGAGTTTGTATTGGCCCTCAGAGAGGTCGACGATTTCCGATGGCGCCGTCTTCAGGGACAGTTCGCGGACCTTTGGAGATGGTTCTGGAATCGGCGGCGGCACCACAGCGGCAGGCTTGGCGGCGGCGAGAGGCGGTGGTGCAGAAGGCTGGCTTGTATCGACAACGGCTGCGATCGCCGGAGAAACTGCGGGAGCAGGTGTGACGACGATCGGTTCCGGAACGACTGGAGTGGCAGGTGACTCCACAGCTACCTTTTCCACATCCTTCTCCTTCGGCTTCTTCCTAAACGAACAGGTCAGAAGACTGGGGGACGATTACTTTTTGAGCATACAACCCAGAAGTGCACCACAGACAGTCAACAGTAAGACGCCGCCGACACCTTAATCATGGCATCAAAGGTGTGGAAAAGGTTTCTGACCAGCCCCAATTCCGATCAACGTCTCAGTCGATAGAGCAGCAGCTGTCGTGGCCGGGGGGATGGGGGTGGTTTCCGTTGGGGCCCCATAGCGATGCGTACAGATTTTCTGGAAATAATTGTTTTTCAAAGGTATTGAACACCAAGGAATTATCAAGACTCTTCAGAACCATCCTACAGTGTCATTGGCTCCCTCGCATGGTGGCGGATCGATAGCCAGTCCGCTGGTGTTGCCGTTTCGGAACTGGACGAAAATGTTCGTGTCGCAGTTCAGAAACTGGTCGCCATTGACCCTCTGTAGATCCTCGGCCTAAAGTGGTACTATTTTCATCTGCAGACGTTGTGAAGACACCTCCAATCCGGCCACATTGATGCATCGTGGGTATTGAATCTTCTCGGGGATGTCATCTTGGCGGCGAACACGATTGTTTTTCTGGTAGTCATAGGATATCGCTGGGCACTCATTATTATGAAATTTGCAATTACTGTGGGATTTTGCGAGTGTCATTCGATAGAGCGTACAAAAATATACTAAGAGAATTAATTTCAGGCCAAAATAATGTAATCAAAATTTTGTATTGAATAAACCAAAATCCAGGAAAATCTATGGGCAACACATAGGATAACGGGGGGGGGGGAGTCAGATTTTCGAAATTTTCGAAATTTTCGGTAGTTTGAAAACGTCATTCGATAAAGCGTCAAAAATTGCCCTAGGAGAATTAATTTCAACCCGAAATAATGTAAATGAAATTTTTTATCGAAGAAACAAAAATTGTTCAAAATCCATGGGCAGCACATAGGATAACGGCGGGGAAGCCAAATTTTTGGGATTTTTGATATTTTGAAGACGTCAATTGATAGAACGGCAAAAAATATATGAAGAAATGTTTTACAACGCGAAAAATGTATTATAAAAGTTTAATAGCCTAAAAACCATTTTTGAAAACTATGGGCAGCACATAAGATAACGGGGGAGGGGAAAAACAACTTTCGGCCTTTTGAATATTTTCGATGTTTTGAAAATGCCATTCGATAGAGGTCCGAAAAATATACTACGCCCTTTTTATAGCCCAAAAAAGCATATTTAAAAATACTTTTATCATGAAAAAAGTTTGAGTGCCCCCCGTTGTTTTATCCCCCCCCTTCCCCCCCCCCACTCCCCGCTATCCTATGTGTACCGTTTTTCTCATCTTGTGACAGGAGCGACTGAGCCTGACTGCAAGCAATCCCAATAAGAAATCAATGCGTTGCACGGTATACAAAAAAAGCACATTAATATTATTAGTACCTCTCGCTGATGGTGAAGAGAAGATACATTTTCCGGTCCTCCCTCTGTGGGGTTATTTGTTGTCGTTTCCGAAGTTTCCGGAACGTTCGGAGCCGCCGTTGATCCCTCACTGCTCTTCACGGTACCGAGCAACAGATTCTCCGTTTCATCCAGGAAGACGGCGTACGGGCCCGACTGAAATTGATCGATGTATTCAGAAACAACCAGGGCCGATCAAACTACTGACAGTGCAACCGACCAGTGCTCGCCGGGCTGAGAAATAGGGCATGGCTCCTCCGGGATTCGAGATATCCAGGAAGACGCGGTCCTCGTATGTGGCGGTGCCGAATTTGTATTCACAAGGCGTGTCGCAGTCCGGTGCAGTTGCAAACTCATCCGGAAATTGAGAAATTCTAAAAACATGCGGTTGGCGAGTACTCTGCATTAATACGGTTTTTTGCCATTCTTGCCGCAGATTGGTAGTGAGGCACAGTCGCCGCCTTGAGGTCGTCCCCCTTTGGCGCAGTACTGAAAATCTCAACTCAAAACTGTTTCCCACTTCACGGGGTTGATCTGCTGAGCTGCATCCAGCCGCGTGCACCGAGAAAACCATGTTACCGTAATGTCCTTGAAGTTGAGCACATCGTAAGGGTATTTGGTGAATGGTGAAAGGTCATCAACTGCGTATCCAGCTGCCTTCTGGAGACTCGGGATGCAGGTACTTGCGGGAGGTTTGTCTTGCGACTTTGATTTTGCAATAGCTTCGATGATCACTCTAAACCAATGTTTATTTTCAGATGTTGTAAAGTGTTTTTCCTCAGGTATTTTTGAGCAGAACCAAGTCTATCTTGTGCAGAATTTTTCGCGGATTCCGAATCCATCGACTGTTTAATTATGAGTCCAGGTTGGCCTAGAACTTGAATATCGTACTTAGTATGTTTTAACTGGACTGGAAGCAAACAAACTCTCAAAAAAGTTAGAAAAGTGTTTGAAAAAGCCGAAATACAAAATTTTCGAAAAAAGCAAAGTCGAAATTCCACCCCCTGTGGATTGTATCCCCCTTCCCAGCGAATACTCCAGAACCCGGACTTTCACTTCAAAAGTCATTCGCGACGAAAGTTAAAAGGCGGTTTCCGAGTCACCTGAACGGCCCCGATACTGGCATGGTACAGTTTTTCAACTCTGTTTTTTTTTGACGCCATCTGAAAGAGCATAATCGAATTAGTAGGGCTGCATAGTTTTGAAAGTTTAAAATGTTGATTTTCGGGGTTTAAATGGCTGTTAAAGTTGCGTACCACGAAAAATTATCTCGAAAAATACTCATCAGAAAATCTGAAAATTTTTGACAATAGTAATTTTAGGGTGCTGATCGTTTCTCTAATACATCGAAACAACTGAAAACGACTGGAACATGGTTAAATCGTATACTCAAAAGAGTTTTTTTACACATAAAACGCTATTTTTAAGATATGCGGACAGCTGGCCGCTTGGTAAGCGATACGCCATTCGATGCAGAATTTTCACGCGCATCTTTCTACCATAGGTTCAACGGTTTCGCCGACTGTCCTACGCCTGGAAAATTCAAGAAACTCTTTTGAGTATACGATTTAACCATGTTCCAGTCGTTTTCAGTTGTTTCGATGTATTAGAGAAACGATCAGCACCCTAAAATTACTATTGTCAAAAATTTTCAGATTTTCTGATGAGTATTTTTCGAGATAATTTTTCGTGGTACGCAACTTTAACAGCCATTTAAACCCCGAAAATCAACATTTTAAACTTCCAAAACTATGCAGCCCTGCTAATTCGACTACGTTCTTTCAGATGGCGTCAAAAAAAGGGTCGAACAAAGCTGTACCAACTCGGACAATGCCTTTTAAGCTGGGAAACGCAATAAGGTCGGACGCGTTTGGACCCAAAATGTGCAAATTTTCAGTTTATATATTTTTCTAACCCTTTTGAAAAGCGCTTCTACTTTAACTATAGTTGACGTACATTTTATATTCGATATTCGATATTTTTATATGCGGTACGAATAGCTCTACCCGACGGATGCAAAATACTTTGTGGCTCAGCCGAAGCAAAAAAAAATACGAACTCGGGAACTGTGAAGCCGGCGTCACATTGCACGAAGTATTCGTTGGTTAAAGAAACTCCCACTGTCGCATATGACTTGATGCTCCTATATGGTTTATTCGAGGTAGAACATGGACCCACCATGTCTTCTCTTCACATTCTCCAGATGCCAGCATTTCCCGGGTGCACAGATTGAACGGGAACAGGGTTTTATCTATAAAAACAACAACCTTCTATCCCCCCTTTGGAAACAAGTTTAATACTTGTTTTTATCATAACTATCTTATATTATATTATTTTAAACAAAATTAAAAATCTTAGTATATTTTTCGATGTTCTACCGAATCGCGCCTTTCCAAAGTCGAAAAAATAGCGTGAATGTCAAAAACAGCCGCTCAATCCGATTTTAAAAGGTTATTTTTGTTTATGCTATAACTTTTTATATTACAATAACTGACGCTAAAACAAAAACTCTTAGTATATTTTGTGATGCTCTATCGCATGGCGTTGCGAAGGTCCCAAGAAACTAGCGAAAATACCAAAAAAGGCATGTCTGTTCTCTCCTCCCCCCCTCCGCGAAGCCGACATACACCGCTTTTTGTTTTCCAGCTAGATAGTTCCCGAGTTAAAGTTAAGATTTAAAGTCGAAAAGGTAAGAGTTTACTTTACCCCCCCCCCTCCCCCACAGCCGAAGGGTCTCAAAGTTGTTGGTATTTTCGCTTATTTTGTCGGGATTTTTGCAATGCCATTCGATAGAGCGTCAATAAATATACTCAGAGTTTTAATTTGAGCCTACAATAATGTAAAATAAAAAAGTTATAGCCAAAAACTTCCGGCTGGGAGAGGGGGGGGGTAAAGTAAACCGTAGCCCTTATCATACATACCTTAAAATTTATCCCTTACCGAGATACCCTCCGGACAGACAGACGAAAATTGCATGCAAAGTGGCACAAACACAAACACTATTTCTTTATATATAGTAGGATACCTTTCCCATCGTTAATTGTTACGGGCAGGATGCAATTTGGAGCCCCGGAATCTTCCTTGTATTCGGCCGTCTATAAATGGCTACGTTGGTTTCCGGCTAGCATGGCTGACAAATGGAAATCCACGCTTTCGGATTTCGTGGCACTTACACAAAATTTTGGTCGACATGGATCCGTCACCATCAGCCTATTTTTGTGTTTTCCCAATGTCAGTCCCTTTGCATATCGGGGCTTGACAAGCAGGACATAGAGCCTGCACCCATTCTGGCATCTCCATTCCTTCATTTGCCAGATGTTCGTAGGCATAACAAATGAACAGCCGATATGGACCACACTAAATTAACCATTCAAAATCAGGTAGCCTTGCAAACATGTCTGATTACCTCATCGCGTCGAATCCGGTGATGACTGCCGCTGAAGAAGGTAGATGAAGCATCGTTGTGGTGGAAGGCGGGGTTTGTTGGCTGCCGAATACTTGCATCACTGAAAGAATTGTAATCGGAGCTGGTAGTAGCAGTGAACCCTTGGAAGTCTAAAATAAGCCAAAAAACTGACGGATTGCCGTGGCTGTTGCTGAAGAAGACGATAATCAGTAAGTAGACGATCAGCATCGTGTCCGTCAGGAACCGATGACGTCGCCTCATCGACGGTCGAGTAGCCGAGGCCGAAATTGTCGGTTGTGTCGAGTGGAATGAAATTGATTCCTCCGGGTCCGAGCTCAAGTTTCCAATTAAATCAAATTCTAATTTTTGCATGTTAATCAGATCGCTTTTGTTTGTAATCAGATCACGTTTTGCTTTAGACCGAGGATCGCTTGAGGATAGATTATGTCTTTTTATAGTCATCTTAGTAGTTTTTGACCGTTAGAAAATTCTGAAAATAGTTTGAAAATTTGAAAATGCAAAAATTTTGGCTCTTTCTCATACATTTTTCACCAAAATGTCTCCTGACCAGACCTTCTGACGAGAAAGGACCACTTTTTTGTTTTCCACCAATGATCTCTTGAGGATATTAGATATGATGTATTATTACAGCGTTTATAGTAGTTTTCGACTGTGAGGACATTGTAAAAATGTTTTTAAAATTAGGAAATTTTAGGTTTTTGTTTGGTCATTTTTAATACATTTTTGACCAAAAAGTCAAAAATGCTAGAAAAATGGTTTGTATTTTGCGAAAGGGCCGTAGAGACACACAGAAAAAAAAATTGGTTTGCCCCCGTGAAAAATCTCCCCCACCGCTAACAGCCCAGGACCGAACTGCCATGGTTTCATGTATAGCAGCAACAAATAATTGACCGCTCAAACTCTCTAAACTTGCTAGAGCACTCGACGCTTGACGAAAATGACGCTTTCAATCTTGTATCCGTCCACTTGCCCCCAACTCCGGTACTGGGGACCGCTCACGCAAGCTATTGTTCCAAATCCCGCGTGCATAGGCGCCGCCTGTATCCTGCCGGGATGAAGCCCGTTCAAAAGCTCATAGCATTCCTGATTAATTTTTCAACGTTATTTCTAGTGATTATGATAACTACGCTGAATCAATAATTCGCTATGACCGAATTTCAACCACAGCTCGTGCATGTCCAACGAACGCCGACATTTTTACCAAGAACGGCGCTTGCCTCGCTAGAATTTAAGAATGAAACTTTTATGTTGTCAGGTAAAGTTTTTTTAGCTTTTTAAAGCCTTAGACGGTTTCTCTGGTTCTGGTTCGTTAGCTGGCGGGGGGGAGCTTACCGGGGATACGTTTTTGGTCAATAGCTTCTCTTATCTTAAATTACATTATTTTGAGCTGTAAATCAAAAGCTTATAATATTTTTTCATGCTCTACCGAATAGCGTTAACAGGATGTCGAAAAAGATAAGAAATCCCAAAAAAAATAGCTTAATCACTCCATTTTCGGTCAGAACTTTTTAAAATTATTGTTTTTGTTCTAGAATTAAAATTCCTGGTATATTTTTTGATGCTCTACTGAATTGCGATGATTAGTCCCCAAAAACGATAAAACTTGGGAAAAATCTACAACATTAATCCTCCCGCTAACGAACCAGAACCGTTTCTCTTAATGTCAACCTACCAAAAAAAAGTAATGAACATCCCCGGGTTTAGCTATTGGTAACTTGCTGGATGTCCAGCCGTACACCCTGTGGGTGGCGCCGCGCCGCGATTTCTCAATGCAGTGTTTATTTCCGATTTTTGATGACGGTGAGGATATTCAAACGATTGAAGTCATCTATGAAAATGCCGAAGGTAAGTCGTTTTGGTCTCAAAATTTTCGGGGTGGAATTTTTCTCTGGAAGCTATCTATTAAACCAGCGTTCTTTCTTTTGATTTCTTGAAGTTGGATGGCGGCGGGTTTTTTAGGCTTTGGTTCTTGGGCCTGGCTTCACTTTGCCTAGGCATAGTAGGCTAAGCTTAGGCTTAGATTCGGGTCTAGCTTAGGTTTAGGCTTGGCTTTGGCTTGGCCTTTTTTTTTTTTTTTTCGGCTGGGGTTGGTTGGGCCCTAGCTTAGGCTTAGCTGGGGCTAAAGCCAAAGCCTGGCTTGGCTTGGGCTTAACTTAGGTTTGGCTTAGGTTAGGTTTAGGCTACGCCTGGCTTGGTAGCTTAGGCCTGGGGACCAGCTTTGAAGGGCCTAAAAAATGTTGCCCCCCCCAAATTCCAATAGCTCATTTACGTTATTTTTCGACGTTTTATCTTCTTGTACAGCCAAAAAAAATTGTAGAAAAATTTCTGAAATAATAGCGTGAATAAACTTGTTTCAGAATTATTCTTTCAGACCCATGCATTCTCCTGTATTCTGATGTCTTAAAATACGCTATTTTGTATTTCAAGCAAATCGTTGGTAGCCTCACTAATTATGAGAAAAGCCCTTCAGCTAGGTAAGCAGGCTTAAGCCTCACCTTAAAATCAAATTAGCCTGCCACAAATCTGGAAAACCGTTGTGGATGTCCGAAAAATTAATGGTGCCGCGGCATTGGAAGGCTACGTTTTCCCGTTGAATTCGGAATGGACCTATTGCAAGTTACCGTCGAAAATAAGCGTATGGTTTTTTTATGAGAAACGTTTACGGTTTTACAGATGAGCGCCGATGTTGAACTGGAGATTCGTGCCGCCTTAAATCCAGATTTTGCCGAGATCGTGGTCCGAGACCGGGAGCCAAAAGAGTGAGGTTTTCGATTTTATTTTCCTCTTCGTGTTTTATTTTATACCGATTTCGGTACACATCGGATAACGGGGGGGGAAGGGGGTCATTTCTGAATAGGGGCTTTCGGGCTATAAAACAGCTCTTAGGAGATTTTTTTGGCCATCTATGCAATAACATGAGCTTGAGCTATGCCCTAACTGATTACAACACCCGTTTTATCCGAAACTTATTCTAGATTAACAAGATGTCCTAAAATGGGGTGAACCTATCATTATGACGCGGACTGTAGAACAGCAGCTTACGAAATCCCTCAGTAATTTTAAATATTGGAAAGAATGAGTGCTCCGGATATTTTATGGCCCTTCCCCCGACCGGTTACCGAGATCCCACCACTAGTATCGGTCCTTTTACCCCCCCTTCAAAAAACACATTCCACCAAGTCAAGTTCTGTTTTACATGCCATATTTCTTATACTACCACAAAACGTGTTTGTACGCGTCAAAACAGGCGGTAGCGACAGCTGACACCCGGCAGTCGTTTCGAACGTGGGGCGTTTGGGACCCAACCGGGAAAGGACCCCCAAAGTCCGGAGGAGGGTTTTGGGACCCCAGGGTGCCTGCACCCGTTACAAAACCCGAGTACCGTTACGACAAAATGCGACTTGCCAAGACAATACTGCCAACAACTATTTGTGAATGTCTGACCGTTTGGTCAGATGGTAAGTGTTTCGATTTGTAAACAGACAACCTGGGTTCGATATCCACTACATATCGAAAAGGTGAGGTTTCCCAATTCTAAAAAAAATATCAACTTTAGGTATCCAAAACGTCTGTCCAGACCCTGAGGAGGTCAAAGCGGTAAAATTTTTTTGCTTTTATGCCGTGTGTGTTTTTATCGTGCATTTTCAGACAACAACAATTTTTCATTCAAATATTTATTCAGGCACAACATTAAGATAAGGGATTTTTAAATGCATCGAAGTCAGCGGATATAACACGATTAACAGGATCAAGAAAAACAACAATTGAAAAGTTTGCATTTGGTTTCTGGTTGACTCGTTGGCGGTGGTAGCTTGAAGACTTCTCGACTTGCTGCTGATGGTTGTTCTCGTCCTTGACAGAGTTGCTGGCAGTCACTGGAGCAGGAGGAACACCTTCGTTG